ACTGTTTTCATTTGGGGGTTTCCATGATGCTTCCTTTATAATAGTGTGCTGAAGGAATCATGGGTCTGTGAAAATACTTCAAAAGCCATGACAAAAATTTCCCGCCCTCAAAAATATCACGGCTTTCAGCGTGGCTACAAGACTGTTTTCTAAATTCATGGATTCCATCCAACAGCAGCAATCTGCTTCTACCTGCTGAGATTTCCACAGGGAAGTGGGATTTTATACTCAATCCCCATCTATCCATTCCCCTACCCTGCGTGTTTCTGTACTCACACTGTCTGAAGAAAGAGGAAATGAGTGTGTGGGTATTTACAACTGCACACACATCTATTTTTTGGTTTGAATGCATTTTTATGATTTATACTGTACATACTCATCAGCCTTTATCGCCTTGCCCATAATTCCTGCCTTTTTAAACAGATACAAATTTAGGAATTCTACACTATGTAATGTGCAAAAAATATTATTTTTCTTTTTCATTTCACCTGCTTTCATGGGGGGGGAAGCCACGTTTAAATAAAGTATCTGTAATAAATTCTCCTCCTGCTGTGGATTACCTGTGTGATTGCTTTTCAGTTGAAATTCCCAATGCAGCATTAGCAACACTGCTTGTCACAGTCGATGGAAGCGCTCCCATAGCTCTTTTTTACTGTGTCGGGACTGCCTGCAGATATTAAAGCAATATGTGAGGCTGTTTGTCTGACTCCACTGGCTTTGTGTTTTAATGACTCCTGTGTGTGCGTGTGTGTGTTTTTGTGGGGACACTGTAATAAGACATGGTGATAAAGACTTGGTGCAACACTGGTTTGAGCAGAAACACGTACATGGATGGCAACTTTGTGTTGCCATCACACACACACACACACACACACACAGAGAGAGAGAGAGAGCGAGAGAGAGAGAGCAGTGACCAGGTTAAATTGAATATAGCTGACAGGTTTGATCAGAGTTGATTGATTTGCAGGGCTGCACGCAGCCTCATGGTAAGGGTAAGAGTTGGACACCTTACCGGAACCTCCTCCTCCGTCTCTTCTTTACTCCAACCCCTGCCATCTCTTTTTTTAACACAACCCTTATTGCAAACCATATCTGACAATAGATATTGAACAGGGAAGCAGGAAGGATCAATGTTTGTTGATTGGAAAGAAAATACAAGGCTGAGGCTGTTTGAAGAGCCTCCAACTTAAATTACTTCAGGATGTTCTTGGAACCAAAGTGTGAGGTTGAACAGATTATATGGAGTCGATCTGCAGGAGCAGATACATTTTAGGCTTCTTGAGTATAAAATATATAATAATAATTTTTATCAAACTTTAATTTTCTCCAGATAGTGATAATATCAATGTACAACTCTGTGTAAGAATAAACAATGAGATGACTTCTTTCAAGTTCAACTGATGAAAAATTTGTTTTTAAATTATTTTCAGCAGCTGTCTGCTTCTTCAGCACACAGCATCATATCTATGTGAGCATTTACTGCCATCTGCTGATTGTTGCCTAAAGGTGCAGACGTATGAATGCACAGCACTGAATCTCTAGGAGAAGTAATAATAATAAAAATGCTTTTCCATTCTTGACCAAAACTATAAGACAAATGCTATGTTTGAATATAAAGTCCTGAATATTAGTTGATCATTAACTGCGATGCTACATTGATCCCATGCATAGTTTAATTGTGAGCACATGGTGCACAGTGCACAGCTCTGGCAGTTAATCTTCAACTCGGTGGTTAAATAAAGACGAGCTCAAAGTACCGAGTCATAGTATTCAGTCACATATTGCATACAGTCTGCAGGCACACTTTGCTGGAGTAACATGGCTGTGCGGCTCTTCGAGGGGAAAGATCATGCGGCGGCTTACCTGCAGTACAGAGTGGCACCCCAGGAGCTGGTCAGCACAGTTATGAGCTTTATGGAGAAAAGGGTATGTGTTTATGCTTATGTGCTTGATAGCATTTGAACAAATACTGTGTCTCTATCTATTAATGTTCTATTACTTTTAGGCAGTTAAATGTACTCTAAAATCACAGCATTTCTCTTAGACACCAAAACCATTCAACCTTGCACTGGATGTAGGCTGTGGATCGGGGCAAGGGACGACCCTTTTGGCTCCATACTTCACCAAAGTGGTTGGAACCGACGTCAGCCCCGTCCAGATAGAGACAGCGCAAGCCAATAAGAACCCTCCAAATGTCTCATACAGGTGAAGGGGAACAAACTGTGGTGGATGTGAAATCAAGGCTGTGATTTAGATAAACCAACGTGTCAAAGGTTCTGTGCTTTCTTCAGCATCTTCATTATGTAATTATTTTGTTTTTTGGGGCAGTTCTTTAAGTAAAGGCTACATTACGTCAATCATTCCTTGATTGTTGTAGATGAAGATAGATTTAGATAAACATGGTTGTAAGTTCTTTGCAAAGAGCTTACCACTTTGGGTAGCATTCTCAAACAAAACCATCATAGAAGATCAAATCCTAGTGTTACAGGGGTCACCGGTGGCCTCATATTCTCCATGGGATGTGGCCTTGATCAGAAGCACTTGGACCGGCAATCGGTACCAGGCAAAGTGGTCTTCTATAAGTCCCACACCCTCCTGTCAGACAGATATTGACATATATTGATGTTCTTAACTTCAGCAGGTTGTTTCATCCGATCTGAGGTTAGCATCATGAGAAGGTCTTGGGTTTGAATCCAGGCAGGGGTCTTTTCTCCCCTTCACGGTCCAAAGACAAACATGGAGTGAGATTAGTTGATTATTCTAAATTGACCTTAGGTGGGAAAGTAAGCGTGAATGGCTCTTACTCTTACTCTATGTGTTTGCCTAGCAAGAGATTAGTGACCTGTCCAGGGGTGTTGACCCTACAACACATGGGATGGGCTCCACTCCCACTTTCTGACTTGGTTGGGCTGCAAATGGATGAGTGGTTTAAAATTTTGAAAGAAAACTCCAGAGAAAAAAGTGGTGACATGTTTGCACTGCCCTTGGAGACTTGAGCCGTAAACTAAATTATGAGCATTGAATTATATTATTCCTCTACAAATGGAAGAGAATCCAAATAAGATCATCCACAAAAGCAAGAATATGCTTTGTTATTCAAAGCTTTTCCCTTATTCATCTCTCCCATCTATAATGGGCCCTATTTTTTCCTTGTCCTGACTCTGTTCACCTTAACATCAGGCAGTGTCCAGCAGAAGAGCTACCATTTGCATCTGGAGAGGTGAACCTTTTGAGTGCCATGACAGCAGCTCATTGGTTTGATCACCAGCGGTTCCTCAAGGAGGCTGACAGGGTGCTGAAACCTGGAGGCTGCCTGGCTCTCCTTAGCTACACCATGGACATGGAGCTTGAGTACGGGGACATCTCCAGCACTCTCAATGACATATGCAAAGAGGTTCATCCCAAATATAAAAGCTCATGTGCAGAAATAGAGTACTGATGTAGGTTTTCAGCCACTATAAATGAATGCTTTCCCCAAAAAGCTTTAAAGTTTGTCTTTGCTTTCTTTCTTTGTCCCACCAGTTTTATGGTGCCCTGCTTCCATTCCGAGATCCCTACATTGGAAAATCCTCTAAGAAGATCTACCTAGACATGTTCAACTCCTGCTCTTACCAAGACAAAGAGTGGTAAGTTCTCAGAAGCTTTGCCAGAAGTCAGCTTCAGTTACATTGACCAGAACATGCTTATTTATGAGTCCAAATGTGTCCAGGAACGAGTGCCTGCAGACAAAAAGGACCCTGCCATTGAGTCAATATATTGGCATGGTGGAGACCTTCTCCAGCTACCAGAAACTGAAGAATAAGGACCCAGCTGAGGCCAAACATCTCTCTGACCATATCAGGAACAAGTGAGACATTGAACTTTACCAGTCTAATCGTTAAGTCCTGGCCTTGAACCCTCACCTCCCTTCACCTGGCGCTGACCATTGATTCCTGTAATCTTCCCAGCTTAATTTATTTCTGATTATCAAACCTGCCAGAATACAGCTTTGAATACTGGCACAGTCTGGGGCATTAATCAGAAAAGCCAAACATTGCTTGACTAAGCTTAACTGTTGAAGGCTTTTACTGCTTTGATAATATAGCCACCATTAATTCCCCCACCAGTGACAGGAGAGAATAGCTCAGCAAGCACAATATATGGAGGAGAATTGCTGAGCCATAACTTTTACATGGATATATAAGTATGACATTATATTTAATTACTGTTAAAGTTTGGGAAGATTTAAACAGTTTCACTTTGTTCTGTCTCTTTAAAGAGTTTCACCTGCATGTTTGCCTAATTTAATGAAGGATAGAGCCTCTGGAGGTTGCTGTTAATTTACAACTTCAAATAATCTGTCATCCAATAGTTCCTCTAAATCATAATGAACCATTGTGTCTCTCTGTCTTTTATCCCAGGTTGATGTCTGCAATGAAGGTGTCCTCTCCTAAGACAGAAGTCACGATGATTATGCATTATTTCTACTGGCTGGCGTGCAAACCTTGATCACTCAGAATGCATGAATCCTGTTTAGGATTGCTTTCCAAGGTTTTTTAGCTCGTCGCCACTTAAAACAAACAACTGCCTTGTTAGACCCTGATGAAGACTTTTTAGTCAATATGTGCAGGTTGTGCTTATCCTTGTCGAGTTGGTTCTACTTTTTTAAATATCCTAACATTTTTATTAAAGATTTTAACTCTAACAGAGTGCATTAGCAAAAAAAATTTTGTTATTTTTTAGTTGTTTAGACCTACTGATGAGCGCCGTGTTGTACAAGTCTCACAGCACTTCCTTTTTTTTAATCTTTTTCTGAAAATGCAAATCAGAATTTTCTATTAATATTAGCTCGAATCTGAATGAAATGAAGCTGCTCTTCAATTAATTTTAGACTACTGACTATCAACTGCCTTATAGAAAATCTCAGAGTGAACACTAGATGGAGCCATTTTGTTGTAATGAAGTCCATGAAAATCTCGTGTGCAATCTTAAAATCTTGAGTTTGACAAGTTTTGAGTGCACTTTTGTTTCTTTTTGTAATAAGTAAACTGCAATAAAAAAAAAGTTTCTTTAACTGATGTGAAACCTCTGTGTACTGTAATGATATGAAATGTGAAGTTTATAAATATGTAAGTACCCCAGCCTCTATTTTCAAATTACAAGTTATTGAAGTATAAAATGATAGATAGATAGATAGATAGATAGATAGATAGATAGATAGATAGATAGATAGATAGATAGATAGATAGATAGATTAGTTGAAATATCCTTAGTGGTTTAAAAAAAATATTACAACTTGCCTAATCAGTCACTGACAGACATAGATGTCTACAATACTATGATGCACTATGACTCAACTGTTCTCTAGACAGTTGACTCATAGTGTGTTTTATTGTAATACCTGTATTAATGTTCCTAAATCATGCGTCTGGCACATGCCCTCCATGAACTTATAATGAAAAAAGACAAAAAACAATAATTAAAAACAAACTAAACATTCTCAAACACTGAAATGAGAAAATTCACTTTGGAAACTAAATGAAATTACACCAAATAAAAAAAACAACAACCTCAAAACAAAAATAAAAACCAATTAGAAAATAGAAAACCATAACAACTCTGCACCACATGTTTTCAGTGACTGAGCAGCTTATTTGTCTAATAAACTAGTTGTATCTGCTACTTTGTGGAAGTAGGAAGGGGAAGAGAATAATAACTTGTTAACAATAACTTTATTTGTAAAGCATTTTTCAAAACACAGAGTTAAAAAGTGCTGCATAGTTTGAAGCCACACATTGGACGTAAATATAAATATCCTCATTTATAATATCCTTATTTTATAATTTTTGCAAACAGTGGCCAACACTGCGCTCACGTGACAGATATTAAAGAGTCTGGAGACGTTTTGTGTTACTGCAAAATCATCTGTGAAGACTAGAGGGCAGCAGTTGTAGACCTGCCAGGTGCTTCTGCTCCTACTCGCACAAAAAGTCATGCTAGCAGCAGTTACAAGAACACTAGCAAAAAGCAAAACTGTAGGGATACGGAGAGAGCAATGCCCTGAGGTCTTGTAGTTGCCTCTCTGGTGCAGTTTTTGTCACTGATTTGCACCAAAGGACAGGACAGATTGATGCCGTTTAGCTGACTTTAACTGTCTTTGTGTTATAATAACTAAGTGCCTGCTACATTGTAAATGTTGCCTCAAAATGATTAATAAATATACTGTGGAATTTATTCAAAGGTAAACAAATATAGAGGGACTATAAAACTGTAACATTGTTTATTTTGGCTGTTAAAATTATTTCATACAATTTCCTCTCTTCCTCTTACATTTGTTTTCTAATTCCCGCTCTCCTTTTCATCTCTTCACCCTCTGTCGAATGGCTCCAGTCACGTCAGTCTCTTCTACTGTCAGGTGTTATTTATGCAGATTGTTTGTAAGGGCCGTGATGTCACATGGTAATTAACATAAATGGCTTTAAAAGTCCACTGAATCCAATCTGACCCACTGGAACGTTTTAGAAAATGTGAAGTAGAGGACACATTTTGAACTTTTAGCTGTATTGTCATATGTTTTGCAGCTTTTCCTGTTGCTAAAAACTCGACCCACATTGCTGTTCATGCGACACCGAGGTATCTATGTAATTGATAAACAATTAAATAGAGGAGTTCCTGTTTTTCCAATATCTGCTATAGAAATTTCTGCTATAACAGTGTCTTTTTTTAGATTACAATATCTCAGGATTCAGATGTTTAATTCTGCCCACTTAAGATCAAAGTGGACTGCATGTGGCCTGCTATGTAAAAAGTGTTTTGTGTCCCTGACTTTGGCATTTTCATAGAGGTGAACTTAGCCACTAGAAGTGACTGGACAGACAGTTTTAATACCAAATACAGAATTTATTTCTATTAACATCTTTCACAACATGCAATTGTTTCACTGCAACTTCCAAATAGTCAATATGCTCAATATCAACACGGGAATATGAAAAGAAAATTAAAAGAGCATGCTTTATGCATAAGAAATGTCTTCTGGAACGCTCTACAAGCCCAAACCTAACACTCTGACGGTCCCTATAGCATTCCCTGTGTGCGTTTGCTCCTCCACACCACTACAGCAGTCATGAGCAGGGTGACCAGTACAGGCACTGTGATAAATGGGGCGAGGATGCTAATCGGTGGGTCATGCAGGAGCCGACCAGTCAGAGCGCAGTCATGAAAGTAGATCTGATGAATCTCCATGAAGAAACGGTCGACTATCTGATTTGGCCAGAAGCAGTTTATCCTCAAGGCCACCTGGTATGTGCAGTTTGTGAGTCCCTCATAGATCCTGCAGAGGACGGCAGAGCACAGGCAGATTCATGCTGAACTTAGTATGTGTAATTAAAGAAAAGATGTTACTAAAGTTGATCCTTTTTCTGAATGTTTGGTGAAACATTTTAAAGTAATCAAGCTGAAAACCCAAATTGTTACAGAAATATCGGCTGGAATTTTGTGATGTCTTTGAAACGTCCTTTCAGAGAGGGAATAGAGCAGGGTATTCCTGTTGGTGGGGAGAAAAAAAGGCAAAAGAGTGTCTAGAATTACCAGTGGGCTTAACACTGCTAAATATAACTGCTAAGTAGGGAGGAGCAGAGGAAATGGAGATGCATACCAACAGGGTACTGCCCTTAGTACAGCATTGCACCATACCAGGAGAGATTCTGTTCCAGACGGCCACTGTGCCTAACTGTGTTTCTGAAAGTGACCCTTTAACCCTCTGAGGTGTGAGCCTAAACCTGCCGTACCGTACAGAAAGGCAAAAACGGGCAAAACTTGATCTTCTTGTTTAAGGTTAGTTAGGCTTAGGTTTGGTGTCAGCACCAACGACGACTTCGACAGTGGCCATCCTGAGATGGTTTAATGAAGCAGCTGTGGCTCAGTAGGTACAGCAGGTCATCTCTTAACTGGAGGGTTGGTGGTTGGATCTGCTCTAACGCCCCCCCCCCCCCACACACACACACACACACACACACACACCCTTTGTGACTGTCGTCCCTGGGTCACTGATTTCCCCTATATCTCGTTAGTTCCTTGTGTATTTATAGCGTTGCATTACCTTTGTCATTTATCAGTCCATATATTTGGCTTCTCCCTCATCACCAAAAGGTTTTCCTGTGCCTCAGCAGCTACGTTTACATGTACCTTGTATTACGATTCTAATAAGGTCCAGTGCTGAAACTTTCAGAGACAGAAGCACAAACGTTTTCATAAATAATAAACAACTCAGGGTTTAGTATCTCGCTCAAGGATACTTGGACATGTAGGTTGGAAAAGCCAGGGACCATGACCCGCTCATGCCCCTTGCTGTGGAGCAGTTGTGGTTTAGAAGGTAGAGCGGTTCGTCCACCAATTGAAAATTGGGTGATATGATCCCCAGATAATCGAAGTATCCTTGGGTGAGATACTAAACTCTGAGTTCCTTCCGATGCTTCTATCGAAGTGTAAGTGTGTGCATGACCATAGGCGCTGAACAGGTGATGGATATCTGACAACAGGAAGATATGATCAGACTGGTGCCAGAAGTAAAATAGCCACTGAAGGAGATGAAAGCGCTTCATCACTTTATCAGGTCTCATGCTGTTACATTTAGGTGGCTGCGCATCAGTGCAGATAATCAACTGACCCAAAGTCTTCATTCAGAATTATTTTAATTGGAGCAAAGGAAATGAACGTCAAAATGCTAAACTTTCGGCTTCAAAACATTGATCCATAAACCAGACGATGACAACTGTCTTATATTCAGTACATGACTGAAGTGGAGTCCACGTCATACCTAATTAAGGAAAGCTATAACAGGAGTAAAAAGACTGATTGTACCGAAATGAGCAATGGTACATGTCTGGTCTTTGAATTCATGTTTTACTTGTCATTATTACTATACAGCCTGAATCCACAAATATTTTTTCAATACTTGTAATTGTCTCTGTACCGGCTTTTTTCCTGGGAGTCTCAAATGTTTCCTGTGAGCCTGAACAGTGGCGTCAAACGTTGTTGCTAGGAGTTTGGTGATGCAACTGCCAGCCCCTCCAACTGCCTGTGCAAATTCTTTATGAGTTACAACTGAGCACACATACCCATGGGCGCACACACACACACACACGCACACACACACACAGAGCACCACCCCCAGTTATGTGCTGGACCAAGTGAGGACTGTGAACCAGGAGGGAAATCACACAGTTTTGACAGCAGCTTCTTCTTTGGGTCCCCCGGCTCCCTTCATCCTCCTGTCTGACTCACTCCCTGACTGTCAGGGTTTGGAAACGAAGCCACCAAGTACTGAGACGATATAATGGCCAACAAATACAGTAAAGCTTTCCCCTGGTGTTGGTGCATGAGAGAGTAAACAGATAAACAGATAGATAAACAAGTTTTTTTTGCCTCTAATAAGCTCAGAAATACCAGTCTGTCAGTGCACCTGCTAAGATATTAGTACTCACTTAGAGGTGAATGATATAAACACGAGGCCTTAATGTTGGCATATTAAAGACTTATATAGTCTGGGTGTGAATCCAGGACACTGCCATCAGCTGCTTCTTATAGCTGTTTAACTGCGAAATGACTTAGATATCAAAAAATCCTCATGCACATGACAGCATGAGGACTTCAGCTTTTCTCACTATCATTCTTCTGTTACACTGACGCCAACCCACTGTACTCTCTTCCAAAGAGCCAGACTTTCTTGTGATTTTTTTAAAGTGTTCTTGAGCAACAGTTCTCCAGGCTTTCTGAAGGTCTTTCAAAAGTTTTTCTTTGAACAATGGCTGCTTTTCACTCATTTCAGTCCAGTTCCTGGGAGCCATCCGATCGCTGAGGATGTAAGAGTGGACAACAGAAGACGTAGCAGGCCTAAAAACTATTTATAGCACACAAACAGTATTTAAAATTCATGCCCTTAAGAAGTGTCAGGACTTTAAGAGATACATCTGTGCCTTCAGCTCATTTATCTACTGTTCACTGAAGCCTCATCAAAAATGGTCTAAGTGGAAGGGTGGCTTCAGTGACAACAGGT